GTAGTAAGTAAAGTGCGTGAATCGTTCTTTGTAAATTATAGCGTGTGTTGAAGTTAAGGTGACTGTGGAAATTAAGTGTATTGCAAAGTTGATTTGAGAAAGAATAAACTAGTTTTATTTGAGAAAGGACTTGTATCGCTGTAGTTCTTCGGAAAGAATATTTACGAGTAATTAACAAACGACCAGATACGTAACAATAGTTTTAAATATACATATATAAAATATCCCTAACACCTTTTCACATACACTCTCGCCATCGTCTACATTGTACCGGAAATGAAATGCTCACAACAGTACATAGAGAAATAGACTAAACATTACCTAGAAAACCGGATGACCTACACGAAGTCACTAAACTCTCTTTATATAATACACTCATTCGATTACACCTCCATTCCCAATTTGCCCCTGAAGAAGAAATGTCCAACTTTTGAAAGCGCTAGGGTTATAGTGTTTTATTCATTTCTATCAAGACCTCTTGAACCTACGTGTTTTCTAGCATTACGATTGTATAGTGATGTGTCATTCTTCCATTAGACGTTCGTTATAGCTACTCAAACTTGTATATCGTTGTAGCATTCTTGGCTTTTAGACCTAGATTAGCTTGTAAAAAACGTTACAGTGGTTCATAGACTTCACACTACGTTCTTGTAAGGGACATAACGTTGAAGTCTGTGTTTTGTTTACTTTTTAATTCAGACGTTTGCATTTTTTGTTTGACCAGGGTGTTTAGAATGGATTGAGCAGTTATTTAACACGAGATAGGTTACAGTAGCTGATGATTCATTTATGATTTAGTCAGTTCGTTGCTATCAATCAGTTAGTTGGTTGAATTGGCAAATAAGTGTAAGTTTTGTTTAGACGTTGTTTTTGGATCTAGGCTTAGCGTTAGTTACGTAAATCCCTTCAACTTGTAAGCGTTAGAACGTGTAGTAGAATAAATGAAATTTGTTCCTTATCATGAACTGGACTGAACTTGTCATTATTCTTATTACTGAGAAATTATTATAAACACTTGATTTCATAAATAACGCAATTCCTTCTAAACACTTCTAATTTGCTGGATTTTTTCTCGCTTTTTGAAGTTTGATATTTTGAAGGCTCTACTTTTTTGTAAAACTGTTTTTCTATAGATGGAAAAAGAAGGACAACGAGCCAGGTCAATCTTTTCTCCTCCCAGCTTCCAGCATTATAACAGCGTGGTTGGCTTTAATGGCTAAAGAGCAAGGTGTTACTGTGCTCACTGTCTCTTTGTGTTATCATTTACAGACATTTTATACCCGTCAGCGACAAAGGTTAGTGCTACTTGTTATATAACATTTCGGTGTTATCGAATGTTGTCTCGGGAACAAGCAATCTGCTGATAGTGAAAGATCTTTCTTGGATGTGAATCAATACCTTAAAGTAAACACATAATTCAAGCTTAACAATTCATCATATAACTGAGCTCCCTGTAAGTATATTAAAATAAACTGAACGGGGTTTTAAGGATCGAACAAACTGGGGAGAAAACAAACTTAGTATAAGATATGTTGTTTTAACTACCGAGAAAGAAGCTTATATTGACGAATTAGATGTATTAGATTAAAATAAGAATATTAAAATCTGAAAGATTAAATTAGTATTTTAAATGGAATGATGAAAAATTTAGTCGACTAATCTTAAGACTCTTAATAAATCTGGACACATAGCTTATTAAGTATGTAAATGTTCATATTTAAAATTCAGTTAACGTTTTTCATATTTTGAACTTTAATTTTCAGGATTTCACTCCCTTTTACTGTTCTAAAATCAAATATATTTTCATCGTCAATTAAATTTGCTTTAGATTTTTAACGTGAAATCATATTGACGAATTTCGAAAAGCAGGAATATGGAATTTTCACGAAATATTGAGGTAATCAATACTTCATTTTATAAAAACTTTGTTACCCGTTAGACAGATATTCGTCACTTCATTACTAGAAGACTAGTGGAACCGCACGTGCTGACCATGGCGATAAACACACAACGATCAACATCAGAACTATCAACTGTTCAACAAAACGCGTTTTATTCGTTCCACGGCGATACTTTTACAGCTTGTGATTACATGGCGTGAATTGGCTATTTTAAAAAATGTTATTTTATAGTAAACCGTAGACTTCGTAGATATCGTTTTAAACCAATAAGAGGAATGCCATCAACTCAGTTTCATAGAATAGTTTACCAGGAAGCAGAACCAGCTTTACACTCTATACGTGATAATGACGTGACTTTACTATATAACGTCCCACCAGAGTTTATACTACGTCACGTAGTCTGTTTACCGCTTCGTCAAACTGTTTAGTTCACTTTTAACACTCTCAGTCGAAGATCGATCTTGGGGAAACTCATACATTAATAACATGTTTGTAAAACTTATCTAATATGTTCCTTCTCAACTCAAGAACCAATATGAAGTTAAAAACTCTTAAATTTTAAGCTTTCTGTTAGAGAAGTCCAATATATGTGTTTTCCCCTCTCAAGACATTGGTTAGAGAAGTCCAATGTATGTTTCTGTCTCACTCCAGGATTTGTTTTAGAGAAATCCAATATATGTTTCTGTCTCACTCCAGGATTTGTGTTAGAGAAATCCAATATATGTGTTTTTCCCTCTGAAGACATTGTGTTAGAGAAATCCAATATATTTGTTTTCCCTCTCAAGACATTGTGTTAGAGAAATCCAATATATGTGTTTCTTCCTCTCCAGACTTTGTGTTAGAGAAATCCATTATATGTGTTTCTGTCACTCCAAACTATATGTTAGAGAAATCCAATATATGTGTTTCTCCCTCTCTAAACATTGCGTTGGGGAAATCAATTATATGTTTTTCTGTCACTCCAGACTTTCTGTCAGAGAAATTCAATATACGTTTTCCCCATCTCCAGACGTTGTGTCAGAGAAATCCAATATTTTTTTCGCTACATATTTCCCCTTAATCCAATCCAATATATGTGTTCCCCTACTCCAGACTTTATGTTAGAGAAATCCAATGTATGTGTTTCTTTCTCTCCATACCTTAAGTTAGAGAAATCCAATATATACGTTTCTTTCAGTCCAAACTTCGTGTTAGAGAAGTCCATTATATGTCTTTCTCCCACTCCAGGTTTTGTGTTAGAGAAATTCAATATACGTTTTCTCCAACTCCAGACATTGTGTCAGTGAAATCCAATATATGTATTTCTCCCTTCATACTTCCCCTAAAGCAATCCATTATAAGTGTTTCTTTCACTCCAGACTTTATGTTAGAGAAATCCAATATATGTGTTTCTCCCTACATACTTCCCCTAAAGCAATCCATTATAAGTGTTTCTTTCACTCCAGACTTTATGTTAGAGAAATCCAATATATGTGTTTCTCCCTACATACTTCCCCTAAAGCAATCCATTATAAGTGTTTCTTTCACTCCAGACTTTATGTTAGAGAAATCCAATATATGTATTTCTCCCCACATACTTCCCCTAAAGCAATCCATTATAAGTGTTTCTTTCACTCCAGACTTTATGTTAGAGAAATCCAATATATGTGTTTCTCCCTACATACTTCCCCTAAAGCAATCCATTATAAGTGTTTCTTTCACTCCAGGTTTTATGTTAGAGAAATTCAATATATGTATTTCTCCCGTTCCAGTCATTCTGTTAGAAAAGTCAAATGTGTGTATTTCTCCCAGCGTAGAGTTTGTGTTCGAGAAGTCAGTCAATTATAAGTGTTTTCCGCCTCTCCAGGCTTTGTGTTAGAATCCATTATGTATGTTTCTCCCTCCCCAGACTTTCTGTTATAGAAATCCAATATATGTTTTTTCTCTCACTCCAGTCTTTGTGTTAGTGATATCTGATATATCTTTGTCTCCCACTTCAGACTTTGTGTTACAAAAATACAATATATGTGTTTCTCCCCAATCCAGACGTTGTGTCAGTGGAATTCAGTGTACATTGTCTCGATCTCCAGATATCGGGTTAGAGAAATCCAATAAATATTTTTCTCCTCCTCCAGACTGTGTATCAAATATATTCAATCATTCTTTTCTCCCTCCCCAAGCTTTGTGTTAGCGAAGTCATATATATGTTTTTCTCCCACTTCAGACTTTGTATTAGAAAAATCCATTAAAGGTGTTTCTCTCACTCCAGAATATGTGTTAGAGAAATCCAATATATATATATATATATATATATTCTCACTCCAGATTCTGTGTCAGAAAAATCAAATACACGTATTTCTCTCACTCCAGGTCATGTAATAGACAAATCGAATATATGTGATTCTCCACCTACATACTTTCCCCTAAAGCAATCCAATATATGTGCTTCTCCCTCTCCAGACTTTGTGTTAGAGAAGTCCAATGCACGTGTTTCTGTCACTCCAGTCTTTGTGTTACGGAAATCTAATACATGCGTTTCTCCCACTGCAGACTTTCTCTTACGAAAATCCAATATACGTATTTCTCCCCCTCCAGACTTTATGTGAGAGAAATTCAATATGTGTGTTTCTCCCTCTACAGACTCTGTATTAGAACAGTCCAACTTCTTCAAATTGGCCTAGAACCATATTTATAATGGTAATAGCAAATTAATTGCGTCAGAAGAACGTGATTGTCTTTTTGAGATTTCAAAGGTTAATTTACTACAAAATTTAAAGATTTCTGTGAACAATGATAACTGAAGAGTCCTCCTGTCTCTCGCTTTGATTTTTCGGGTTCAATTTTCTCAAAAGAAAAAGTCTATTTTTGGAAACGATTAAGCTGAACCTGGAGAATAAAGTTTACCAATCAGCCCTCCACCCCACCGACTAACGTCCGAAATTTAAAAGACCAGAATGGTCCCTCGGTGGGCCAGCGGTAAATTCTTTGATTTACAATGCTAAAATCCGTGGTTCGATTATCCATTATGTAGTTTTGCATTAGTTTTGTCTGTTTGTTTAAAATTCTTGCAAAGCTTCTTGAAGGCTATCTGAGCTACCCATCCCTAATTTACAAATGATAGACTAGAGGGAAGGTAGCTAACTATCAACATCACCCACCGTCAACTCTTTGGTTACTCTTTATCGACGAATTGTGGGATTGATCGTCATATTATAACACATCCAAGGCTAGTAGGTCGAGAATATTCGGAAACGAGATTCGAAACCGTGAATCTCATATCGCGACGCGAGTGCCCTAACCACTAGATCTTAGCCAGACCCTTTCCATCAAGGAAAAAACAACGACTTTAATGACGGTGACCCTCAATATAGGTGGTTGCAGGGGCTTCGGCTGTTTGTTTCTATAAAGTAGGAAGAAAAATAGACTAAAGAGCAAACAGTTTCTGAAAAAAGAAAAGAGCCCAGCGTTTGTTCACGTGTTCTTCTGCTGTTGGTATCGATTTTTGTATTCGTTCTTTGGGGATTTTAGGTCGCAGATGTCTTTCTTGTTTTCTATATATTATAACAAATGTGATATTCAGAACATTTGTCATCATATCTCGTGAGCAGAGACAATTGTAAATTTTCACGTGTTTGTTTTTTAATTCATTTTATTAGTAAACAAGCTGAGGTACCCGTCCTTTGAAGTTGAAAGTGTGGGATATAATAAATAACATAAAAACCCTAACTTTCCGATAACTTATTTAGAACATATTATTACAGTATTCATTGTTACTTCACCAAGAGTTTTGTATAAGGTTTATGAACTCTTTGTATATACTTAAAACACGGTACACATCGTGCATTGCCATAGGAAGCAATTTTGGAGTGGTATGGCCATTGCCACATTGTCAATTCTAGGGACGTCTGGGGGAACGTTTCCCAGAAAAGTTTTGAACATTTAATAGTATGATATTGAATCTTGAGCCATTTTAACTACAAATACTGCATACACTCAAACGAAAGGTAATGAATTAAAAAACAAACAAACATGCCATGAAAAAAAGTGGTCAAGCCATGGCCTGACCGCTTCCTACGGCCCTGTTGTGCGATGGACTGGGTTACTTTGTATTAAGAGGTAGCAGCCAAAGTAATGGCTGTAGGAGTGCTTTCAGTTATCCGCTTTCAACTCTAATGGCTGTAGGAGTGCTTTCCGTTATCCGCTTTCAACACTCAGCTCATAATGTCCTTCTACAGTACTTCACCTGATTAATTGACGGCCATTGGCTACAGAAGTGTCTTACGGGCCAAAGTTGAAAGGTCACGGGTCAAATTAGGAAGCGAGTGTAACTCAAGACACGGCTCTTCATATCAGCCTTATGGTGGCTGTTGGAGTAGAAACATCAGATGAGTTTATGTAGTATTGCAATAGTAGAG